GGACTATGCCATTATTTTTAAAACATTAAGACGTTTTCCATTTTTCATTATTATGAATAATATTACACGCCTATTTCTAAATTTAGCCTTTTTGAATAGGGTGATCCCCCCCCCATATTTCTAGTATTATTTTGTCACATAGTTCTGCACATTGTAAGACCTTTAACACCATTGGATCTCACTTATTAATTTACCAGTTTGACACCCAAATTATCCCATAGAGTAATACTTTTATTTCTAGTTCTTAAGGTATGATCCTAGTCATGAAATGACTGAATCAGAAGCATAGCTATTTAAAATATTGGTGGTGATAGTTGTTGTTAGGTGCTGTCAAGTTGAGTGTGACTTATAGCAACCCTGTGAATAATAGATCTGAACCCTGCCATCTTCATCATCTCTGATGCATTTGAGCTCATTGTGCACTGTCTTCATTTTAAGTCACATTTAATCCGAACTCTACCTCTCAAATACTATAGCCTCCTCTGTTCCTCAGTTGTTCATACTATTTCCAGAGGCCTGTTATTTCAGAAGTAGATGGCCAATTCCACTTCCTAGTCTGTTGATCTGATCTGAGAACACTGCTGAAACCTGTCCACTGTGGGTGACCTTTCTGGTCTTTGAAACACTGGTACCTTAGCTTCCAGCAACCCACAAGTCATTTCTGTACATCATACTGACAGACAAGTGCTGTGCTAGTAAGAAACAAGTGCTATACCAATAAACAAGCATATACATACCTACAGATGGCCAAATAATCCTCCTGGAATATTGTACTAATTTATGCTTTCAGTGATAGTAGTAGATGAGTAGCTGTTTACTCATGCCCTGAGCAACATTTGAGTTTGTTTTTGGTATGGTTTTGTTGTTTTTTTTTTATTTTCCCCCCATCTTTGCCAGTGAGGACATTGATAAAACGATTACTTGAAAAGACTTGGTATCAATCCGTTTCAGATCTGGAGAAAATGGTTAGAGTAGATAAAGTGGTGAAGTTTTCTCTGAGCATCGTTTACATTTATGATTTCAAATCTAAATGACTATATGTTGTTGATAATTGCCTTGGAGTCGAGCACAACTCATGGCAACCTTATGAACAAAAGGCCTGAAGTCCCTTCACAGTTATCTCCCCAGTTACCGGTATCCATCCATCTCATCCTAGGTTTCCCTCTCCTTCACTGTCCGTCTACCATATATTTTTTCACACACACACACATACACACGCGCGCACGCGTGCGCTTTATTCCTGGCCAACAAACAGAATATGAAAGGAAAAAGCTAAGAAAATGATTCCTTTGTACCTCTCCAATCATCCATTCCCACCCCACCCCCCGCCAGCAATTACCACTATCTGTTTTTCACACATCTTGAAGATATTATATATGTACTGTGTTACTTAAGGGATTATGATGAGAAGCAGAAGGTTGACATTTGCAACCCATCAACTAGTCTGTGGGAGAAAGATAAAGCAATATGTTTTCACAAAGATTCACAGCCTTAGAGACTCACTGGGACAGTTCTGTTCTGTCCTTACAGGATGGCTTTAAGTCAGTATCAACTCAGTGGTTGTAGATTATGTTACATATAAGAACATACATGTTCTCTTTATATAAATGGCAGCATGTTACATAATACTTTTGTATAATGTTCTCTATACCAGTATATACAGTACAGTATGTTTTTTTATTCTTCTTACTGGATATATGCACATTTGACAGTCCCATATTAGTGAACATTTAGGCTTAGTTTTTTGGTTTGTTGTTGGGGTTTTTCTTTTTCTTTCTTTTTTTTATCTCTGTATTTGTTTCAGTGTGCAAGAATATTTGTGTATTTGAAGCCTTGCTCTTTTTTTCACATAACTATATTACATACTATTTCCTATAAATTCTGAAAGTAATACTCAGTTTATTTAAGTATATATTAAAATAGAGACACCAAATAGAATGTGTAGTTTGGTGATTTATCAAATAAATACACCTGAGGTTAGGAAACATTGCATCTCCTTTATGATATTTGGGAATGTTGTTGCTTTGAGCATTCTTCTTTTTGTGTTTTGTTTTATAGTACAAACGTATTTACATTTCCTTTAGATAAAAGAAGATCCTCAATGAGGTGGATTTACATGATGACTAGAGTGAATGGGTGTAAGTGCAGCAGAGATGGGGAGGCTGGAATAGGATTGGGCAGAGTTTCATTCTGTTATACCCAGGTTACTGTGAATTGAAGATAACAGCAACATATTCCTAGGACTGGAATTGCCGAGTGAATGTCATGTTTATTTGTTTAAATTCCTAACAGCAGTGCATGAATTTTTGCCACGTATTAGAATACATCTTTATTATAATTGCTAATATTAATTAATTAGCTGTATGTTTGACCATGGGGATTATTTTTTTTTATTGCCAAACTACATAAGAAACCAAATAAGGTTTCTTTTTTTCGGTAACAAATGTGCAATGCATAAAGTACTTTAAAATGCTTTTTTTGAGAACAGCACTGCTACTCTTTGAAGAACATCCCAATTATTGCAGATTTTAAAAACCCTTATTTCAGTTGAAACAGTAACAATGTTCTAAAGCAAAGTGTGTATTTAAAAAACCCACCAAAATATGTATGAGAAGCCAGTATGCTTTGTAAACTTTCTCTCAAACACAATCCTTACTTCTTTTTATGATTATAGAAGTGATAAATATTTTTAAAAATTTTAATAATACAGAAATGAACAAAATAATAAAACAGCAAAACCCTATATAAATGACGTGTTAAAAGCTATAGTAGAAGACGAGTATGACACACATTAATTGGTTTTTAAAATTTTTTTAATTTTTATTTTTGGCTTTTAAGAAATAGTAAATATGTACTTGAGACCTAGTGGAAGAAATCATTGGAGAAACTCAATATAGCAGTCAGAACTAAGCCGGGGCAGACTGTGGGTCAGATCATCAATAACTCATACACAGGTTCAAATTGAGGCGAAGAAAATGAAAATTAGTTCACAGGAACCAAGATATGATCTTGAGTCAATTCCGTTGGAATTTCATGATCATCTTAAGAATAGGTTTGAGGCGTTGAACACCAGTGATAGAAGACCAGGTGAGTTGAGAAATGATATCAAGGATGAAGAAAGCAAAAGTTCATTATAAAAACAGGAGAAAGAAAAACCAAAATGGATATCAGAAGACACTGGAACATCGAGAAGCCAAATCTAAAGGGGAAAGCATATCGAAGTGAAAGAGCTGAACAGATGGTTTCAAAGGGCAGCTTGGGAGGACAAAGCAAAGTATAATGGAATGTGCAGAGAGCTGGAATTGGAGAATAAAAAGGGAAGAACTCACTCAGCATTTCTCGAGCTGAAAGAACTGAGAAACAAATTTAAGCCTCCTATTGCAGTGACGCAGGTTATACACATGGACTTCACCTGATGGTATGCATAGGAATCAGATCGACTACTTCTGTGAAAGGAACTGCTGGAGAAGCTCAATACCAGCTGTGAAAACTAGGCCGGGGGGCTGATTGTGGAACACACCACCAATTACTCATATGCAAGTTCAAGCAGAAGCTGAGGAAAATTAAACCAAATCCACAGGAGCCAAAATATGACTTTGATTTCATACCACCTGAATTTCAGAATCATCT